GTGACCTTCTTCTCTCCTGCCCCTGACCTGCCCTCATGTGATTCATGCCCCGAGAATGGTACTTGAGGAAGGGCCTGGAAGCAGAACCCGAGTTAATGACCGGGCGTGACACTGGTGTAAGAATCGGAAATGAACCACCAGGGACGTTTCTGCATTTAAAAACACTCGTCTTTCTCGTGACCTGTGTATTGCAAACACCCACGTAGGTGCGCCACACACCACTGTACTTTTGTCATGGGCAGTTTACACATGTATAATAGGAAAGGCCAAAAGCAATTTGTTTGGTAAAACAGGCAAAATAATGGCTGGGCAAATAAAAAAATTCCAGGTTTTCTTTTGTCTTAAAGCACCCCCCCCAAAAAAAAGAAAAACCCCAAACAAACCCTCAATTATCTGTGAATTCTTCCTCTGCTCTTTTTTGGGTATTCAAATCTTTATAAAGATTCAGTGGGCTTTTCTTAAAGGCTTACAAGCCATTTTCTTAAAATATAGGCATAGCAAGAATAAACATTAAAGAAAGTAATGTTCCTGTCATCATCTTGGAAATTTATGTGTCTACCTCCTAGTTGTAACCATCTGCATGCACTACTTAGCAGAAAAGCAACTAACTACCACAGATTACGACAGCCAGGTTTACATGGATTTTACAATAATAAAATATGTAGCAAACCGTGTTAAAGACCTCTTTATATGAGGGCAAGTTACTAATGCTCTTAGATGAACGCAATGTATGTATCTTGGCTGTATGAAAAGAATCCCTAATCTTGTTACCATATTTTTTGTGATGTGCATCAAAGTCAAGTTAAACACTTTCTCAGTTTCTCCCCCACCCCTGTGTTTTGGAGGGCCATTTTTAATTTTTCTTTCATAGTCCCAAGCTTGCTACTTCTGGTGGTATAGTAATGGGTTGGAGTAGAGTCCCAGTGAAGGTACTAAATAAAAAATGTTACACTGGCACTTTGAATTTATACTGTTATTTAGATCTGTGTTCACTAATACTTTTGAGAATGGTACTTTAAAAGATTTAGTTGGTAACTTTAGGAAAAAATATTCCTAGTGGAGCTGAAGATATTATCATTTCCATTAACTAATGACTGAGGATAATGAGTCTTCTGTTTTCTTCCCATGTGACCATGACAGTATGCCAAACATCAGATTATGTACTTGGTCACTTCCCATGTTGACATACTTAACTTTACTCCCATGGTTGACCTCAGCTAACATTACCAAACATACACATTGTCTTGTGTTGTATGTGGGAAGACAACTCATTAGCTGTTGGTTTAAAACAGCAAGTTATTGAAATGAGAGATATTTGGGCTTAGGGTTGAGGAATCTCTCTTCCACCAGTGGTTGAGCAATAATAAGAACAGTATTGTTTTTGTCTTTAGTCTCTTACTCGGTCAGACCCAACACAAACAACCTTAGGAAGCCTTTGCTAACTTCCCACCCCCACTTAAAAGATAGGTCAGTATCCTTTCTTGATTCTTACATTACCCCCTTTATCAGTCATGGGCTTTAGACCTTCTTTTTCTGCTATGGAGTCTATGTCTCTGTTACTTGAATCTGCTGCACCACTTCACACCACTTTCTTCTACGTGTGTGTGTGTGTGTGTGTGTGTGTGTGTGTGTGTGTGTATGTGTATGTATGTGTATTTGGTTAGTATGCATGCAGGTGTGTATTCGTGTTCGTGGGCACACCTGTGTCTGCATGTTTATGTATTGTGCAGGCCAGAGGTTGATGCCAAGTGTCTTTATCACTCTACACCTTAAAGGTTCTCTCACCTGAATTCTGAACTGGTCAGTCAGTGAGTCTAGCTACCCAGTTTTCTTCTAGGCACCCTTGTCTCTGTCTTCCAAGACTGGTGGGCTTCCATACCTGCCCTGCATTTATGGGTGCTGGGATCACACTTGTGTGGCAAGGATTTCATTCAAAAAGCCATCTCCCTGTCCACTTTACTCTTTCCTTGCATAGATTTGTCTTTCACTGATAAAATTGGATGGGGAATTCTTTATCCAATTGGGAAAATTTTGTTTTGTTTTGTTTTTTTGTTTTTGAGACAGGGTTTCTCTGTGGCTTTGGAGGCTGTCCTGGAACTAGCTCTTGTACACCAGGCTGGTCTCAAACTGACAGAGATCCACCTGCTTCTGCCTCTTGAGTGCTGGGATTAAAGGAATGTGCCACCACCGCCAAGCTTTTGGGAAAAATTTGAAAGAAGAAAATATGTCTTTGTTGTTTGTGCTTTCATGAAAGTAATAAAAAGAGTTTTATACTGAATTGTTATTACAAAATGAAAATCAGTTAGATGTAAAATCTAGAAAAATCTACAAAGCTATCCATCTCAGCTACAATAGGCATGTGCTCTTCGATGCTTTGGTGGGTGTTCTGTTCAGTGTCTATTATCATAAGTGTTACTAAGTGCACAAAAAAGCTGTTTTTTGTGCTCCATAGCTTAAAAAAGCCTTGATGGCACATTTCTTTCTATAGCTTTTTAGAAAAGTGTTATTTTAGAGTACTAAAATAAATATTTAAAATTGTACAGTTACTCTGTTGCAAAACAGTAAACCATTATTATTTTTATTACTAGTTTATAACTTTCTGAAAAACAGAAAAGATATATATATATATATATATATATATA